TAAATAATTTGTTAAAAGAATTTGAGTACCCAAAACCCTCAATAGTTGCATGAAAAACGCGGTCAAAGTATGTCAAACTATGATTTGGTTCTTTGGAATTGTGCTGGATTCGTTTATTTTGAACTAAACACCTGTGGAAGTTCAACCAGGCACTGAAATGATCCACTTTTGCTACAATTAGCTGTGTGCAGGAGAGGAGGCCAAGGAATGTCACGTGATCGAATGCAACTAAACCATGTCACTTTATTTGGAATCTGATGGCTCTCATTGTCAGAAATTGTTAAGCTTGGTTACTGCTAGCCTGCTTTGGTTAGAATCTGCTCCTGCAAGGCCCCTGTGCTCTGCTGTCATCGGCCGCTCGGCTGTGCTCGGCGGCTCGGCTGTGCTTGGCTGTGCTCGGCTGCGCTCGGCTGTTGTCGGCTGTAGTCGGCTGTGTACTCAGCTGTGCTCAGCTGTACTCGGCTGGTCCGCCGTGCTCGGTCGGCTGTAGTGGGCTGTAGTCGGCTTTGCTCGGCTGTAGTCGGCTGTAGTCGGCTGTAGTCGGCTGTAGCCGGCTGTAGTCGGCTGTGCTCGGCTGTAGTCGGCTGTAGTCGGCTGCTCGGCTGTAGTCGGCTGTAGTCGGCTGTAGTCGGCTGTAGTCGGCTGTAGTCGGCTGTAGTCGGCTGGTCGGCTGTAGTCGGCTGTAGTCGGCTGGTCCGCTGTAGTCGGCCGTAGTCGGCTGTAGTCGGTTGTAGTTGGCTGTGGTCGGCTGTAGTCGGCTGGTCGGCTGTAGTCGGCTGGTCGGCTGTAGTCGGCTGGTCGGCTGTAGTCGGCTGGTCGGCTGTAGTCGGCTGCACTCGACCGTGTGAAATTCCTAAGCCCTCTCTCCTGGCACAATGCAGAAGTGGAAAACTTAGGTTGAATCCGAACACAGCCTGTTGTAACGGCAGAACCCAAATGGATAGCCGCGCCGAGATAGTGGCGATCGGGCGTGGGCACAAAACTCTTGGATGCTTGAGGTGGAGCACCCAGCGCTTCAAAAAGGAGCTTGAGCCCCAAGCGGGACACATTAGCTTGCCAGATCACCTCCAGGGCCAGCTCGTCATCGAAGTAGGCCGCCGTGATGGCGTAGAGGCACCTGCGTGCTGCTGCAATCCCCAACTGAGGAAGGCGGTTGAAAGATACCACAGCGCTCTCCAACCCAAAAGCCAAACCCCATAGGATTGTGTACCGCCATCCCTGCTGGGGTACCCAGACCGCCACAGCACTGAATGGGAGGTGTTGGGGGCTCCCAGACGGAAGTCGATCCAAGGGTGGTGCACAGACCAATCCTCTTGGCACGTGACCTGTAGTCGACGGGCAAGCTGCTTGATGACCGCTGGGATGAAGTCCAGGTTAACCGTATAAATTGTCTCCACCATGCTTGTGCTCCGGTTGTGCAGGGAGCGCTTTGCGTTGTCTATGGCGCGCTCCTTCCCATCTGGTTGTACAACAAGAAAGCGCTCCAGCGGTCGCCACTGGCCCCGGCCGAAACGCCTATCGAGGTCCTGTCGGGTAAGAAAACCCGAACAGAAACCCTTTTGCTGTTCCAGCAGCGTGGCCTGGTAAATGCGCTCGGCGTGAACCGGAAGCCGCGAGCCCTCGATGCGCCGGATGGCTTCTTCGGCCTCAGGCCCCAGCCACTCAGCCACTGGTAGAGCTTCCCGACCTGGGATGGGCCGAAACACACCACTGGGTGCACATCACCCACTATAGGGTACCCTCGGATCATTTGAACTGGCTGCTTCAAATCCGGCCACCGTAGCATCACGGTCAAGAAGGCCATCATCCCTGGTCGTTTTTGTGCTGCCACGCGACTGGCGCTAACACAGCGGAAGGTGGCCAGCGCAGTCTCCAGAGGTTGCAGAGCCTTGCTCACCTGGGTCAAAACACGGCGGCACTGCGCAGAGTAGCTCGCCAAGTGCTGTCGCCAGACGGCCACTGCATGCAAAACAAAATCGACATCTGGGTCTGGCCACTCGCGCAGCCGAAAGGGTGAGGGCAAACGGCCAGCCGCTTCCATATGCTGCTCCTTCCCGAGGCCAGGGGGGAGTAGGTGGTCGAGACCCTTCCGAGAATTCCCGGGGTAGCGTTGGCCTGTCAAGCCGGCGAAGAGCTCAGCCCTGTGCTGGCGGGTGATTGGCGTAGGTCCCAAGGAATCCAAGACAATGCCACGGCCAAGGGCCCAGGCAGAAAAAGCTTGGAGCTGCCAGATAGCCAGTGGCTTGAGCTTCTGCCGGACACTATGCCAAACTGCATGCCCCACCGTGAACTCAGAGAAAATTGCAGAGCGCATGCCCTCCACCACCTGGTCGCTAGAGAGCAGACCAGGTGAAGCGGCGAGGCGCCCCGGTTCCCAGACCGTGCCAACCAAGCGGTCTTTCAAAGCCGCCTCCTCCAAATCCAAGGGAGTCCTGGGTATCTTCGAAGACAGCGCGCCCGGTAGTAGGCAAAACAAGGCCACAATCATCGGGAGGTGAAAACCATTTCCAATGAGACTATTCTGGGGCTGTCTGCGAACTGCCGGTGGACCATTAACTGCTTGAAGGCACTGGGCCGGCAGACCCATCATTTGGCAGCGCTCCTCGGGGAAAGGTTGTCTCCATTCGTGCTGTCGCCACAGCAGACTAGCTTCCTCATATGCTGACGGGGGAAATCTGCGATCGTCACTAAAGAATTTGGCCGCCGCTTCAGGCGCCACCAGTTTCACCCGGTCAGTAGGGTGCCAAAACTCTCTTGTAAAGGGGTGCATAGCGCCAACTCCATGGGCCCGAACCACCTCTGAAGCATCGAAGAGCGGCGCGAACCCGCCGTCACAATGTACCTTGGCCGGGATAGGCTTGTCTGAATGCTGGACCCATTCCCATCCGTCAGGGGGGGTGCGCTCAGGCGACACACCACGACCCCGACACCCGAGCCACAGCAAGCGACGCCGCTGCACCCATCCGCAGGCCGCTGCGTCCATCACGATGGGTGGGAACCCTACCCATTCAGTATATTGGTCCCTCACATCTAGCGGCATGGAGGCTACATTCTCGAGGAAGGTCACGATGTCCAAATTGCGACACTCAGGGAGGGCCTCCAGTTCCTCACGAATACGCCGGAGTTGGAGCGGTTGTTGGCTCCGCACATCGGCCAGGCCCTTCCTGTCTGGGTTCAGTGCTGAATTGCCTTGGCACGGCGAACCGCCGCCGAGAATGATACCCCGGACGGTTCGTCGCTGTAAGAATGGACGGAGCACAGCACCAGTCACATTTTCAACAGCGTCCACTGCCACCACCTGGGATAAGCACTGCTGGGTAGCCTGGGCAGGAATAGGGTCGTTTTCGGCTGCTACCGCATGGAAGCGGGTGCCCATTGCCAGCAGTGCTAAGCATAGACCACTAAAGCCAGCCCAAAGATCTATCACCAGCCACGCACCTACCAGTGGGCGAGCCCAAACAAATTGCGGGAGGTCACCCAAACCCCGCCACGCAACATGTTTCGCCGCCCGTAGCTGCAACGCTGCCGGGTCTGAGTGCTGCTGCGGCAAGTCTACCCGGGGGGCCCGGAGTAAAACTTCCCGGATGCCACTAAGCGTGTCATCCTTGCATGCCTGGCCCTGGACCCCCGAGGTACCCAGACCCCGAGGGCGCAGGAGTCAATCCTCATGCTGCACCCGTGTGTGGGCCCGGCTAAGACATGGCTTGCCGCTAGGCAACTTCACGTCGCAGGCATGTAGGTTTTCACACTGCCCGTTGGAGCAGCCACGCCCGTCGTTGAAGGGCTTACACAGGCGCTTACCACCTTTCACTATGCTCACTGTAGCAAACCTGTCTGCTTTGAGGGTGCGCGGGCGTTTGGTTGCCGGCTCGCCCTCCGGGAGGGTGTCCTCTCCAGGCCGTCGTTTGGGGGTCGCCGGGTGCCCAGACCCGGCAGACCCGACCAACGGCGAGGCCAGAGGTGACCGCCACTCCAAATGGGTCTCCTGCAAGGCCTGCTTCAAGGCCAGCGACCCTGGCAACCCACGCCTCACATGCGTGGCAAGCTTTCCCCTGGTCAGGATGTCGTTCCTTTGCATCCACAGCATGGAGCCACTCGCGTACTCGGCACAGTTACGCAGAGCGCCATCAGCATATCCCAGAGCGGATGATAAGTCCATCATCCAATGGCGAGCACCCTCGTCGTCCACTTGATAATTGCCAGCCCATGCCATTGCGTGCGCCAAAACGCGCAGCTGCTAGTACTCCACACAACTCTTAATGGGCACTCCTTCTTCACGTTCAAATTCCAGGTGCAAGTTGTCACCCAGGGTCACAGACCCTTGGGTGCGTGGTTGTGCCACCGCGATCACACTCTTCACCTTGCGGGCCTCAATCACCGTGAGCTGCCCCTTGCGAAACTCCCTGTAAAGGCGAGATCTCAAGGCTTCACAAGGCTCCAGCGCAGGGTCCAGCTGCAGGTTGTAGCGGCGCGTCCAGTCCTGGTTGAGAGACTTCCAGCGGTTCGTCCAAGTCGGTCTGCTTGTTGGAGGGCACGGCCGCTTGGCGCAGGGCCTCACGGCCGATGTCAAAGGCACTGCGGAAGCGCGCCAGTGCAAAATCTTGTTGTCCTTCAAGGTGGGAACTTGGTTAACCAAAGTTTCCACACCTGATTCCCAACTCTCATGGGGGGTCAGATACACGTAGTCATCCAGGGTGACCACTTGGTGCTTGGCAATGAATGCCTCAGCCCACTCGTCGGACACGTTGGCCAGCTTCAAGCAGCCTTGCAGGCCGCGGTCATCCGCCAAGACATCTACGCGGCTCATGGCTGAAGGGCAACCGGAGCACCACTACTACGCTTGGGTCCAAAAACTCCAAAGCATATTATGCGTGCTACCGTGATTGCACACTCCGCACAGGTAGGGACAACAAAGGTGCACCACCTTCCCTAAAAACCTAACTACGCCTACTGACTAGGGGGGGACCCGGGGGGTAGCCACACCCCTATCATCTGCCCGCTCACTTTTTCTCATAAAAGAAGGTCCGGGTCGTCAGCCGCTTTAGGCCTCCCAGGTACAGGCCCCTTGGCATGCGTCCCAAGCAGCGCCGGCAGACGGAATCCATACTGCCCTGCAGGAAGCCTTCTCCACGCGAAGGGTCCTGGACGAAGGGGGCATCTCTGCAGTAGTGTCTGAGACTACGTGAGTGCCTGTTTGAACCACTGCAGGTCCGCAGCCGCCGTCGGATCCGGCCAGATCCCACGCAAATCGTCTGCCTCTGCACTGTTGTCCGACGCCGAGCTGCTAGTGTCCACTGAGTCACTAGGCCCCGCTTCAGGCTCCCCGGCAGGCTCCGGCTCTGTAGCCGGGCTTGTCAGGCTCCGCCGCGTCGGCGATGGCCGCATTGAGAGCCGGCTCATCCGCCGCCCACGGTGTCTGCTGATGCAGAGCCTGGAAGTCTTTCCACGTCCAGGAATCCACAGGGAGTAGCCCGTCCGAAGTCAAGGTGACCTGCGGTCGATGCAGCTGCCAGAGCTCGAAGAAGCGGTCCAGCAGACGCACCTTCACCACGACGGACCGCAGCACCTTGTGGCCACTGTAGTGCCTCCCCATAGGCATAGTGGCCCGGCTGCGGGCGGCGGCCACACCACCTCCCTGCGGGACTTCCGACCAGTTGCCGACTGCTTGTGCATCCACGTCCGGCAATTCCACCACATTGCAGAGGGTCGGCATGAACCTGCTCAAACGGTTGAACGTAGCCCCCCTGGCGGAGTGGGTATCCAAACCACACTGCACCAGGGCTCCACGGAAGATTTCCAGAAATCGGCCCCTCGACATAGCTTTGCCCAACACCAGCGGTGTGCTAGCCGTGACTTCCCAGAGATCATCGGCCGCCAGTTCCAAAGCTGGTACAAGGAAGCCCGACGTAGCCAGGACTTCATGCCGGTAGAAGTCGTCCAGGAGGCGCCCTACCCCATGCCCGACCCAGGTCAGCTCCGGGAGGGCCCATCCATAGGCCGGGCGCGCTCCTTTCTTGCGCGCCTTCCCCTGCTGGCAGTGGAATTCAATCCAACGCCGTGAGCTGCCACGAAGCTGGAGCGCTGGATGTGCTCCCATCGCACACAGGCGATGGCTGCGAGGAGCACCCAAGCTAGCAGCAGCTTGTGGTTGCCTCTGGCCTTGCCGAAGAGGCATGCCAGGTTCACCAACTCCCAGGGTTGGAGCTCCGGCGCTTGCCGCGACGTATGCGCCCCAGCATGGAACCGATACGGCGCCACCAGCGGGTGAGTCAGGTCCAAACCGGCCCCCGCCTGGTTGGCAAACCATTTGAGGGCCGCGTGCATAGATGCTGCTGCCGTGGGCCCGCCTTGACTCACAGAGTGCAAGAACGAGGCCAACTCAAACGGTTTAGGCCGGTTGGGCTCCCAGCCGCTTTCCTGGCAGAACTTGACCCATCGGCGGAAGCTACTGACCAGGGCGCCCAGGCGAGGCGTCGACAGGCGCTGGGCACCGTGGAGCAAAGTCTCACGGACCCTCGCGCTGCCCAAGGGGTCCTGCAAGAGTGCCGGGTCAATACCCAACTCTGCGGGATCCAGCACAAAGTCCAGCAGGGCGTGGAACAAGAGATCCAGCTTGGCCTGCTTCGCCAGATCTTCTCGGCCCCCTTGTGCTGCCTGGGGGGCGGCCGGGCCCACCACCGTCGTAGATGTCGCCGTGCCGGTACCCAGACCGTGCAACGGCTTCATCCCACGAGTGCTAGCGGAGGCAGGGGCCGCCACAGGTGCCGAAGGGATGGATCGAGAGGGGTGACAGACATCCGCTCCGTCACCGCCATCTCCACGGCATGGTGTTTAGCGCTCCTGGCCATACCATTGACCCGGCCGTAAACACTGGCCACTTCCAATCCCAGGTCGGCCGGCACATCTCGGCCCATAGCCAGGCGCAGAGCCTCCAGGAACTCATCCACATTGGTGTAGATCCCGACCACATCAGCCGCTGTTTCCACTCCCATCGCACCCAGGCTGATGAGGAGTGGCAACGGGAGGTCAACTATGGCGTCGGCCAGTTCCGGTGCCATGCCCTTGGTGGCTTCTCTGGCCGTGGGCGGCGGCCCTGCGGGCGATCTCGGCCGCATCCGGCTGGCCCTCGGGGGTGAGGACCTCGCGGAGGGGGACCCGGAAGGGCGTGCTGAGGCGGCGGAAGCTTCCATCCTCGTCAGTGAAGCCCGACCTCGACGACCTCCTCCGGCGTCGACGCCGTGTACGCCTGCCTGGCCTCTCTCCAGCTTCGGTTCTGGACGGCACAGGCGTGGCAGATCTTCTCCTCGGCATCGCAGTTGGTGCACACCGCAACTGGTGGGGCCTCGCAGCACTCATGCACACCAGCTGTGGGTCCACTCGCCGCAGCAATCGCAAGGGAGAGCACCCAGGCTACGTCCCTCACGATGTGCGGCCGCTGTCACCACAGCGTATGCCGCCCGCAGCTCCCAGCAGGCCTGCCGGTCAGCGCGCGTCACCGCACGGTGATCAAAGGTGGGATGGGTGGTGAGCCAAGTCCTCGCCGCACCCTTCCACACCTCAAAATCGACCGCACGGAGAGCCATGGACCCGTCGGAAAAACTGAACTGGGTCCTTGATCCAAAATGGCATCAAGGCCCAGAGGTCTCAACACTTTCATACCTCATAAAGCCCCTACCCAGCCAACCTACAGTTATGAAGGATAATACATACATGCAAATATATATATATATGTGTGTGTAATACATACATGCAAATATGTATGTATGTATGTATGTATGTATGTATGTATGTATGTATGTATGTATGTATGTATGTATGTATGCATGCATGCATGCATGTAATGTAACGTAACGTAACGTAACGTAACGTAACGTACCGTAACGTAACGTACCGTAACATAACGTAACGTAACGTTATGTAATGTAATGTAATGTAATTTATGTATGTATGTATGTATGTATGTATCTATGTATGTATGTATGTATGTATGTATGTATGTATGTATGTGTGTGTATATGTATGTATGTATGTATGTATGTATGTATGTATGTATGTATGTATTAATATGTATATCTGTGAAGAAGCAAGGGGTTAGAGCTTGTCAGGAAGGCATTGACCCAAGTTGGGCTCCGGGTGCCGGATCATGCCGGTTTGTTTTTGAAGCTGGACTGAACTGACAAAAGTGGAAAACAAAAAGATTTGTAAAGCAGCAGCGCGCAGTTCAAAGTTGGAATGAAATCGTTTTCGGGGATGGGCTTGCCCTGCGCTCAAGCAAAGACAGACAAACAAAAAGCAAAAGAACACAAGCAAACCAGCATGAAAGAAATGCACAAACTGTGTTCAAAGGCAAGGCCTGGAGGGCTGCAATCGTCACCTCACATTTGGATCTGGCAGCCACACGTGCACGCCCGCACAAACCCCACTTGACCTACCAAGTGGAACACCCCGGCAACTCAGAGGACCACAGGACACCCAGTAAAGTACAAATTTCAGAAACACTTGAACCGGACGCTTTTAGTGGGTTACTCGCGAAAAAATTAAACTGGACTTGGAACCCGACAGCCGGAAAGGGCTTGCGTAATCCTGTTCCCCAAAGCAGGGGCGAAACTGCAAGAAACAGATGCGGTTGCTTTTCCAATGTCACCGATGAAGAGCTTTGCCCCCGGCCAGGACTTCAGCATCGGACCTGGGCGCAGGCCATGCAAGGATAGAACAGGTAAGGTAGCGATGGTGCGGGGGCAATTGCTTCAAACGGGCAACCAATAAAACACAATATGGTGCGAAAATGAAAGAAGGCCTGAAACACGCCTAACTATGGTCGTGGCAGAACAACTGCATGGGGACTCAGCTCTTTGAAATCCGCCCGCACCGACGGTGCCGGAGCGTGGTATAGTTTAGTGTGGGGAAAAACGAATCAACGAATCGATGCCAGAGCTTCAGCTGGGGTGGCCATGCATTCCCGCCACGAAACAAGGCGTCCCGAAAAAACAGTTCCAGTGTGATAATTTGTGCGTTTTTCATATCACTACAAAATCGGCTCACCTGCGCCACGTCAAGCCAACTAAGGTCCACCAGCACAAGGGAAGAGGCCCCCAAAAAAGAACCCCCCGGTGGTAGTTTAAACGTATATTTAATGTGGAAAACTCGTCCAATGCCATCGCTTCGAGCAAACATCTGCGCAACGTGGCTCGACCCGGGCCAAGTTGATCCCAGCGCAAACCCAACATGAGGAAGATTGCCCAATCGAGGCCAAAACCCGTAGAAAATATCGCTGAGAATGTGCATGCAGCCATTGGGCCCGCCATGTGCTCCGAACCGACTTGGGCCAAAGTTGCTCCCAAAGGGGCACAACTTGGATCCAAGTTGCACTACTTGAAGGCCTAGGTTGCGCACGTTGGGCACAAGTCAGGCACAAGTACGATCCACGCTGGGATCCAAGTAGCTCAAGTTGGGCCCAACATGGCGCAACCTGGCCAAAACTTGGGTTTGGGGCAGAGGCCGCCAAAAAAGAGCCCACTGTTTTTTTTCAGCCATGTGAGATTCCACTCGGGATCATTCCATCTGGAGACGTCATCATCGATAATTTACGTTGAATCAGGACAGGTCCGCATGCAGGAGATTGTGGACTTTGAGTAGTCATATCAAAACGTCTAAGGCGGTGTTCCAATACGCAGCAAAGGATCCAACCACTCGCCAGGATTAGACCGGGAACACTGGAGGAGAAAGGCCGGTAATTTGTCAGGGAACATGAGCAGACGCTAGCGAGGCGATTGAATCCAAATTCGGACAAATGCCGCGATAAAATTGCACGAATTGGAACATGTTTTGCCTCCAAGAGTCTCACAACAAAAACTTGAAAACGTCTTGCTATCTTACAAACAGAGCCCGGGCAAGCCGGGTGACGGAAGTTTCGAGAGAGGTAAGAACCTATAAAGACAAGGGAGAGCCTATAGGAGCAGCGCCTGACCGCCTGTCTGGCACGGCCGTTGACTGCGTGATCCCTTGGAAGTCTTTGTCCTTGACATGCCTTGCCCTTGACATCTTTGCCTGGTGCTGCCACTGTCTCTTGATCGGGTTTGCGCTTGTCATCTTTGAATCTTGACAGGTTTCTGAATTCTCGGCGTCTTTGAATCTTGTCAGCCCTTACGAGAGCCTTCTGTTTGTCCGGAAGTCTTTTTCTCCCCGCCATTTCAATCTCTTGATCTCCTTTGTTTGGCACGGTGGCTTGCGCTTGTCATCTTTGAATCTTGACAGCGTCTTTCTTGTTGACAGCTCAGGAGCCTGGGTCCTGACACACTCTGGTCTCCTGACAAATTTCTTTCCCTATTCCTTCACTCTCCTACTCCCTTCAGTTCCCTACTCTTTATAATTCCCGAGACACCCTGCTGTTTCCCTGTTGTTTCCTACGCTCTTCAGGTCCCTACTCTCTTTCACTTCTCCACTGTCTTCAACTATCTACTCTTCATCACATCTCTACTGTCTCCACAGAAGCTTTTACGCACAAAGCTTTTACACAAAGACGATTTTACACACAGACGCTTTTATAAACACAGGCGCTTTTACACACAGAAGCTTTTACACACAGAAGCTTTTACACATAGAAGCTTTTAGACACAACGCCTTTTACACAGAAGCTTTTACACGGAGAAGTTGTTACAGAAGCTCTTACACAAAGAAGCTTTTAGAGAAAGAAAATTTTACACAGAAAGGATTTGACACAGAAATTGCAGCTCCAAACTGAATCTCGGCACCTTGATGCAGCCACTCCAGCGCGATTTATAATGTCCAGCTGCAAAAGACAATAGAATAGTATTACGCACGCAGCCGCGGCACCAAGCAACCTTGACGCAGCCATTACAGTGCGATCTGCAGAGATTGACTTGCAAAACACAAAAGAAATACGCGCAACAGCGTCAGAATTTGCAGCTCCAAAACCGGATCTTGGCGTCAAAGCAATTCCAGTTTGTGCAAGAAAACACAGGGTTTCATGCGATTTCTACAATCCAAACATCACCTGACAAAACCTTGGAAGCAGCAATTCCAATGCAAAATGGAAGCCTGGATCACCAAACACAATGGCACAGCGCATGCGATCTTTCAAAGATCACCTCCGCGGAGCGCTGACAATGGGGACCACTTTTGCGCCATCCGAGCGCACCCCGAGCACGCCCGTCGCATGGACGAGGTTCCCTGCATCGACGCCGGGAGCCACTTTGTGCAAGAAAACACAGAGTTTCATGTGATTTCTAGAATCCAGACATCACTTGACAAAACCTTGGAAGCAGCAATTCCAATGCAAAATGCAAGCTTGGATCACCAAACACAATGGCACAGAGCATGCAATCTTTCAAAGATCACCTCCGCGCAGCGCTGACAATGCGCCATCCGAGCGCACCCCGAGCGCCAGCCGCACCCGTCGCACAGACGAGGTTTCCCTGCATCGACGCCGGGAGCCACTTTACACGAGAAACACAAGGTTTCCCCTGCGATTTCTAGCGCCCAAAAAAGACATCACCCCTCAAAGCGTTGGAAGCAGCCATTCCAATGCAAAATTTAAAGATCACCTCTGCGCAGTGCTGACACTGGGGGACCACTTTTGCGCCATCCGAGCGCAAACCAAGCGCCAGCCGCACCCGTCGCACAAACGAAGTTCCCCCCATCGTCGCCGGGAGCCACTTTGCGCGAGAAAACACAGGGCTTCGTGCGATTCCAAACATCCCCTTGACGCAGCAGTTCCATTGCGATCTGCAATCACTACGCTGCAAATCACACTACAACTGCGTCGACCACAGCGGCAATCAACAAGATGTATGCAGCCATTCCACTGCGATCTGCACAGATGAATTCTATTTTACAATGGGGGACGCGTTTGAGCGCAAACAAGCGAAGACCGCACCCATCGCACAGATGAGGTTCCCCCCATCGACTCCGGGAGCCACTTCATGCGAGAAAACACAGGGTTTCGATCGGTTTCTAACACCCAAACATCACCTTGACACAGCTGTAGTAGTTGTAGCTGTAGTTGTTTGTAGTCGTAGTCGTAGTGTAATTAGTGTAGTGTAGTGTACTGTAGTGTAATTAGTGTAGCGCAACGTAGCCTAGTATATTTGCAATTGTATTTGTAGTTGCAGGTGTAATTGTAGTACTGTAGTGTAGTGTAGTGTAGCGTAGTGTCGTGTAGTGTAGTGTGGTGTGGGGTGGGGTAGTGTAGTGCAGTGAAGTGTAGTGTAGTGTAGTGTAATGTAATGTAGTGTAATTATGTAGTTGTACAACTAGTACTAGTACTAGTACTAGTACTAGTACTAGTACTAGCACTAGCACTAGTACTAGCACTAGTACTAGCACTAGTACTAGCACTAGTACTAGCACTAGTAGTAGTAGTAGTAGTAGTAGTAGTAGTAGTAGTAGTAGTAGTAGTAGTAGTAGTAGTAGTATCAGTAGTAGTAGTATCAGTCGTAGTAGTATCAGTAGTAGTAGTATCAGTAGTAGTAGTATCAGTAGTAGTAGTATCAGTAGTAGTAGTAGCAGCAGCAGTAATAGTAATAGTAATAGTAGTAATAGTAGTAGTAGTAGTAGTATCAGTAGTAGTAGTAGTAGCAGTAGTAGTAGTAGTAGTAGTAGTATGAGTATTAGCAGCAGCAGCAGCAGCAGTAGTAGTAGTTGTTGTTGTTGTTGTTGTTGTAGCAGCAGTAGTAGCAGTAGTGGTTGTTGTTGTTGTTGTCGTTGCTGTTGATGGGCTCCACTGCCATCTGCAATCAGTGCCATGCCAATCACACTACAACTGTCGACCACCTCTTTACTCTCCACCTTTCTGCTCTCTTCCCACATCTCTATACTCTCTCACATCCCTACTCTCTCTATCTCTAATCTCTCCACATCCCTACTCTCCCCATCTGTAACCTCCTCATCATCTCTAATCGCTCCTCATCCCTACTCTCACCATCTCCAATCCCTCCTCCTCTCTACTCTCTCCATCTCTAATCTCTCCACATCCCTACTCTCTCCATCTCTAATCTCTCCACGTCCCTACTCTTTCCATCTCCAATCTCTCCACATCTCTACCCTCTCCACTCTCCATCTCTAATCTCCACATCCCTACTCTCTCCATCTCTGATCTCGCCACATCTCTACTCTCTCCATCTCTAATCTTTCCTCATCCCTACTCTCACCATCTCTATACTCTCTCACATCCCTATTCTCACTATCTCTAATCTCTCCACATCCCTACTCTCTCCATCTCTGATCTTTCCACATCTCTCTTCTCTCCATCTCTAAATTTTCCTCATCCCTAGTCTTTCCAGTTGTGATTATTTATTTGATCTCCGCATCTTGAAAACTTGTAAAACGGAGTTTAAGGGTCAGTTCACAATGAATCCACCAGGGCTGCAAACCATGGGTAGCAACAAAATCTAAACATAGTTCTATCCACGAAGCTCTTTCTTCAGCCGCTGCCCCCCCTCACAGGGACAAACCAGTGGGGAGCAGAAAGGTAGCTAGCCAAAGTTCTTGTGGCAAGTTGGGAGATCCGGTTCCGACCTGATGCGACAGAACATAAGTCATGCAATCTCCCAACCGGCCCCAAGACCCAGGAAGACTGCGCAAAATCGTCCACTTTCATCGTTTCGACCGAACATCTGCGTAACATGGGCTCAAGCTTGTACCCAACTTGCGTCCAAGGGCCGCTGTTGCTCCCAAGCAGTGCCATGTTGGAGCCAACTTGGTCCAAACGCATTTTCGTTGCACGATCCTACTGCAAGTTGCTGGGTTTTCAACTGTCCAAGGCGGCCCATGCCAGCTCTAGGGACTCCCCCCTCGCTTCTACTTCCAGCAGGGGCTTGCTCGCAATCTCTTACATCTCTTACCTTTCATATCATCCGGCGCAGGCGGTGCTCGTCGCGAAAGCGATTGTAGAATACAAGAATGTCTTCCGTTTAGCTCCTGTACTTGGGCTGTGACTCAAGTCTGGTTGAATCCACCAAGCCACAAATCTTGCCTTGGAGAACCATCAAATCGCAAAACACAATAGCTGATCTACAAAGTACATGTACCAAAAGGAATGTAGTATTCGACATGAATATGCCATATACAAATATATCATCATATGTATACAACCATAAAATATAAATATACCAATCATATGTATATATATATGTAGAGAGAGAGAGATCGTATATCTATAAATGAAAATCATATATCACTTTTTAAACTCTTAAAACAATTAAAACATATATGTATATAAATATATCAACTATATATATATGTGTGTGTGAATCATATATCATATAAATCATCTATATATATATATATGTGTGTGTAAATCATATATCAGATGTATATATTTTTAATCACCGACGGAAGTTTAGAAGTCAAACTTCCGACAATATGGACAGATGAAAAGCAGAGATGGGAAGAGTCAGAGAAGAGAAGAGAAGAAGAAAGAAGATCAAAAAAGAGAAAGCCTCAGAAGAAAGAAGATCCAGGCACGCGAAAAGGTAGGAAAGTCGCGAGACACTGTGTTTTTCCGATGATCTGTGGCTCCGGAGGGTCGACAAGTAGGCTGCTAAAGCGGCGGGCGCGGAGCCAGCTTGCCAGATGAGAGATGAAAAATTGCACGCCGTTGTTGCGCGAAGCACATTTCTAAGTCAAAATGTACAAAACACCTCAGCTTCGAAATACTTTTAGAAGCTGCCATGTCGAAAAAGTGCACACATTTCGAAGTCAAAATGTTAAAATCACCACATGCTCGGACCACTTTTGGAAGTTGAGATGTCGAAAAAAGGTGCACACCGTTGTGGCGCGAAGCACATTTCGAAGTCGAAAGTGCAAAAAACTGTGGGGTACGGAGCGCTTTTGGACGTTCAGATGCCGTTTTGCGTTGCAGGCGCAAGGGATTATGCACCTTGTCAAAGTGAGCAAAACTTCAGGGATTTGCAGCATTTCCAAAAACGACGGCAGGCGCGGGACATTTGAAGGGGATCTGCAAAGATACATTTTCCGTGGCAGGCGCAGTACAAGAGACATGTTCATCAGAGATGTTAAGAGGTCGGGACGCTGATTTCTGAGGGGTTGCATTTTGGAGCATCAGATCTTCAGTTTTGGCAAGATGACTTTGCGTGACAGGTGCGGCACTTCGTATGACTTGGCATCACTTTTTCGTGGCAGGCGCAGCACTTTAGACAGGTGGAGCGGAAAAATCGCAAAATGAATTGGCACGAGGCCGTGAGCTCTGCACTCAACTTTCCGTTTTTGAAGGAAGTCTCGCAGAATTGTTTCGTTTTTGATGTTGCCACCGTCGAAAAATGAGGAAGTCTCGCAGAATTGCTTCGTTTTTGCATTTGTTAACTTCGAAAACTGAGGAAGTCTCGCAGAATTCGTTTCGTTTTTGACGTGGTCAAGTTCAAAAACTGAGGAAGTCTCGCAGAATAGCTTGGTTTTCAAGCTTGCAGGTTGCAGCTAGACAGGTAGATAGATAGATAGATGGGTGGGTGGATGGATGGATAGATAGATAGACAGACAGACAGACAAGTACAACAACAACTACGACAACTACTGCAACTACACTACACTACACGACAACTACACATGCAAATAAACTATGCTACATTACACTACAATAATTACACTACACTACACTACACTATATAATTACACTACAATTAACACAAAAACTACTACCACAGCTACAACTAAAATTACAACTACACCACATTACACTACACTGCACTAATTACACTGCAGCACACTGCAACTACAAATACCAGTAGTACCGCACAAGGCGGTGGCGGAAGCTTCAAAAATAGGAAACCTATAGGAGAGGTTGGTTGTTGTGAATCACGGATGGCAGAGCGAATCCACTGATGGACCGAAAGGTGGTTGGAGTTGTGTTTTTTGGAGTGGTTGCAATGTTTGCATTGGTCACCTCACCACAACTGCTGGATGTAGCATGGCGTAGTGCAGTTGTAGTTGTAGTCGTAGTTGTAGTGTGCTGTAGTGAAGTTGTAGCTGTAATGTCGTGCAATTAGTGTAGCGTAGTTGCAGTTGTATTTGTGGTGTGGTGTAATTCGTGTAGTATATTGTAGTGTACTGTAGTGTTGTGTACTGTAGTTTGGTATAGTGTAGTGTAGTCTAGTGTGGTGTGTAAGGTAGCGTAGTTGTAGTTGTAGTGTAGTGTGGTGCAATTAGTGTAGTGTCGTGTAGTGCAATTTGGTGGTAGTTGTTTAGTGGTAGTTGCAATTGTAGTTGCAGTTGTAGTTGTAGTTGTAGTGTAATGCAATTAGTGTAGTGTAGTGTCGTGTCATGTAATGTAGTTGTAGTCGCATTTGTATTTGTAGTTGTAGCGTGCTGCAGTGTAATTAGCGCAGTGTAGTGTAATGTGGTGTAGTTGTAATTGTAGCTCGAGCTGTGGTGGTAGTAGTTCTTCTAGCTGTAGTGTAATTAGTGTAGTGTAGTGTAG